CATTCTTCACCTTGCACTCATAGGACTTGTGGCCTTCCTTGTGGCACACGTAGCAAACCATGATTTGTCCTTCATCAAGCTTCTTTACTCTCTTGACGGTGTTATCTTGATGAAGTTGGGCTTGTTCCGTCTTGCCTTTCACTTGAATCAAGTCCTTGGTGAGACAAGCCACTTCTTGCTTGAGTTGCTCATTCTCCATTACAACCTCTTGTGTGCATGTATCTACAACAATTTTTTCAACACAAACTTGGTTGCACAAGGGTGAGTCTAAACATAAATCATTAAAAGAAGTAGAGGCATCCTTTTTAGGCATGTCAAAAATTGAACCTTTCTTTTTAGGTCCCTCGGTGGGGGTTGTACCGATGGCTTCAAGATTAGCAACTTTATTAGTTAGCTCTTCACAATGTTTACACATGATTTCTATTTTAGCAAGCAAACTTTTATAAGCATCTTGTGAACTAGCTAACTTTTCTTTTAATTTTTCATTTTTCTTTACAAATTGCTCATCATTGTTTGAGCATATATTTGTTGTTGCACTAGCCTCAAGTTGCTCAATTTTAGTAGATAGTTCAATATTGAGATTAGTAAATGTCTCATATTGTTCAAGCAAGGTTTTATATGCTTCTTGTGAACTATCTAGCTTTTCTTGTAATATTTTTAGCTTCTTTTGTTGGCTAGTGCAAGCCTTAGCATATTTAAGATTTTCTTGCACAAGTTCATTAAGAGAAGGCATTTCATCATCACTATCACTCTCACTAGAGGATGGTTTTTATTACCTCGTGCCATAAGGCACACACGAGAAGAGCTTGATGATGAGTGCTTGTGGCCTCGCCTCTTGTGATGGTCTTCTTCTTCACTTGAAGAATCATCCCACGACCTTATTGATGTGAGGGCTTTGTCCTTGCATGCCTTCTTCTTTGTCTTAGGTGTGGGCCTGTTTGGACAAACTTCCACAAAGTGCCCCAACTCACCGCATCCATAGCATCCTTTTTTTCTTTGCTCATTTCTTTAATTGGTGAAGATGAAATCTTGAATTTAGATGGGCACACCCTTGACATTGAGCCTTTGGATCATCTTCTCCACCTTGTTGATAAGCTCATCATCTTGTTCGTGATATGTATTCTCGTTTGAATCTAATTATCAGTGAGCTCCATTCAACAGGATTAACAAAGCTAGATGATGCGGACATCGTGAAGATCATCTCCATGCTACCACAAAAAAAATATACAAGCATCATCACCATCCTTCACAACATAGAGGACTTAAGCACCATGACCCCGGCCATAGTCATTGGCAAGATAGTGGCGTTTGAAATGTCACGCAAGATGGGTCAAGAAGAAGCCTCTTCATCAAGCAAAGGCAAAGCTCTCACATGTAGTGAGAAAAAGAAGATGAAGGGCAAGCAAGTTGAGACAAGCTCAAGCTCAAGCTCCTTAAGAGAAGATGAAGAAGAAGATGAGGATGTTGATGATGAAGAATCAAGTGATGATGATCAATCTTCCTCCTCCACCTCCGACCTTAATGAAGAATCTATTAAGCTTATCAACAAGGTGGAGAAGATGATCCAAAAACTCAATGTCAAGGGTGTGCCCATCCAAATTCAAGATTTCATCTTTATCAATCAAAGAAATGAGCAAAGAAAAAAAGGATGCTATGGATGCGGTGAGTTGGGGCACTTTGTGGAAGTTTGTCCAAACAAGCCCACACCCAAGACAAAAGAAGGCGTGCAAAAACAAATCCCTCACATCAATAAGGTCATGGGACAATTCTTCAAGTGAAGAAGAAGACCACCACAAGAGGCGCAGGCACAAGCACTCATCATCAAGCACCTCACGTGTGTGCCTTATGGCATGAGGTAATAAAAAGCCTATCCCTAGTGATAGTGGCAATGATACTGATAGTGACGATGAGCTACCTTCTTATGATAAAATTGTGCAACATAATCTTAACTTTGCTAAAGTTTACACTAGTCAACAAAAGAAGCTTGAAAAATTAAAAGAAAAACTAGATAGCTCACAACAAGCTAATTTTGAAACCGTCGATACAACCCTCACCAAGGCACCTAAAAATAAAAGTTCAATCTATGACAAGCCTAAAAAGGATGCTTCTACTTCTTGCAATGATTTATGTTTACACTCACCCTTGTGCAACCAAGTTTGTGTTGAGAAAATTGTTGTAGATACATGCACACAAGAGGTTGCAATGGAGAATGAGCAACTCAAGTAAGAAGTGGCTCACCTCACCAAGGACTTGACTCAAATGAAAGGCAAGACGGAGCAAGTCCAACTTCATCAAGATAACACCGTCATGGGAGTGAAGAAGCTTGATGAAGGACAAACCATGGTTTGCTACTTATGCCACAAGGAAGGCCACAAGTCCTATGAGTGCAAGGTGAAGAATGGGGGAGGAGAAAAGAAGAAAGAGAAAAACAAAAAGCAAACAAGCAAACTCACCAACACCTACACCAACAAGGTGGACAAAAAGGCCTCCACACCTTATCTCTTGAAGAAGAAGAAAAATGACAAGGTGGTGACCATCAAGGTGAACAAGCAAGCCAACAATGGGGCCAAATGCATTTGGGTGCCAAAGGAGATCATTTCCAACATGAAGAGCACCAACACTACTGGAAACTAGATTTTTCCTGTGTACCATATATTTTTCTGTCGGTTGCATGAAAACTCACAGGAAAAAAATAATTTACCCTGTCGGTTCTCCAAACTCACAGGGTAATACATATAACCCTATCGGTTTAAGTCATACGCACAGGGAAATTAGCTCACAGGATAATTACCTACAATTCCCTATGAGTTACACAATTTCTCTGTCACATATGTACACAGGGTAATTTGGAATCAAAAGCGCGCCAATTTTCCCGCCTATATTTTTGCTTCGCGGGCTTCTTTGCGCTTTCGCCGGACAATATTTGGCGGCTTTGCGCCTGTGGACTCTATGGATCAAAAAGGCAAAGAATGAAAAAAAATGTCAGACCTTATCCATCCCCCAGCGCCCTCAGCCTCGAGTCACATCCGCATCTCCACCCGCCACCCAGCTCCCGTTCTGTCGCGCCTCTGCCTCTCCACCTGGCCAGCTCCTGGCCATCGCCGCCTCTACCTCTCCAGCCGCCCAGCTCCCGACCATCACAGCGTCCGCCTCTCCACCTGCCCCGGCCAGTGGCCCACCCGCCTCCACTCTCCTAGCTCGGCCGGTGGTTCGCCCGCCTCCAGCCAGGAGGCAGCGGCCCGTCCGCCAGGCAGGCTGGTGGTCCTTCCACCTCCGTCCATAGCCAGCCGTCCGTCCGCCTCAGCTCCGCCTAGATCGACGCCCGTCTGCCCCGAGCTAGCTGCCCACCTCCTCGCAGCGAGTCGCCACCACGTCGACGCCCACATCGACGTCATCGCTTGCCTGATCCAAGCCTCCGTACAGGCGCATCTAAGGTTTGCCTTGGACCCACTGCACCGGCCGCAACATCCCGCAGTCTTTTTTCCATCTAATGTCATGTGAATCTATAAGTAATTGCATGGCGTGAGCCCTTCCTTGAACTCTTTCCCTCTTTATGTGGAATGTGATGGATTGTATGGTGGTCATCGTCGGTAGCATCTTCGGTCACTAGATCCGTCACCTTCCGCAAGAATCTGCTCTGCCGCTGGTTTGATTGGAGAGATCTATTACCTTCAGCCACATTTTGCTACGCCACACATCAGAAATTGAGAAGCACCGTTGAGGTTCACTTGTACACTTAAATTTACTGATGTTCCTTTCATTATTTCTATTGCTAATTTTATTGATAAGCGATGTTTCTTTCACTGTTTCTACAGCCTACAGCAGCAATAGAAGCACCCATAGTCATCTTCAGTTGTCCTTTTGCTTCAAGGTACAACTATTTGTTTTCTCTCTTTTTAGTAATTTGCTCTCCAACTAATAGAGATGAATGGTGCACTAGTGCACTGTTTCTACAACTATTGCCTTTATATTGTATAGGCTGTTCATCAGTACAACTTATGCATAGTGCACTATTTTTATTTGTTTGACACAGGTTAAAATAAGCTTCTGCGATTTGTGTAGTAGTCAAAAAATACTTCATCATCACTACAACCCATAACAAAGTGATGTGAATTGGCTTTCTGGTTAAAGGTAAAGTTCTTACTTTTTGTTGTGTTTATGAATGTGCTCTGCTATGTTGTGATGCTCATTCTCTTTTATTGCACACTGCTGTCATCGTCTTGTGATTGCCATCGGTTATCACTAGTTAATATGATTGGTATGCTTTTATTACACACTGCTGCTATCTTGTGATTGCCACCAGTGTACATTTGTTAATTTGGTTGGTATACACATCTTCTGTTATGGAATGATAGATATGCCACATTCCTAGATATGTTGTATGCATATATGCATGGTCTAAATTAACAATTAAAATTTTATATTTACATACCTGAGATGGATGATTTCTTTCAGTACGTACTTCAAATCACAATCACTCATTTATTTCAATTAAGTTATGATATGTGTGCATAATAGTAATTCTATTAATGTAGAAAATTTGACAAGGAGTAGTGGAAGAGCCGTGTTGTTCCAACTGAACAGCAGAAACGTGAATTGAGACTAAATGGCTGGAATTATGGCCGTTCCATAAAACAAGGGCCAGATTTTTTTGAATGGTTCAAGGACCAAGTAATGTCCCTATGCATATGAGATTGCATTTGTGTTAGTTTCACAACAGACACCACTAACATATAAACTACATTTTGTAGTGCATGCAATCATCTATTGTTCACAAAGCTTTGTGTCAAATGTCATATGGTTTCTGTACTCGAGTTCATTGTTATGGTTGTTATGATGTCAACGGTTATATATTTTGTTCCGAGCAGTATGAGAAGGGAAGATCTAGACTAACCACTTGCAATACTGGTGTTTGTGTGTCTTCTTATGATGAAAGTGGCAATGTTCTTGATTATTATGGTGTCATAGAAGACATCATCAAAATTGTTTGGGAAGGGAGCATGCCACTTGAGTTGGTTTTATTTTATTGCCGTTGGTTTGATCCAACACCCAATGGACTGCGACGCTCTGAGAACTTAGGTTTGGTAGAGATTAAGCACACATCAAGATTATCAAATTTTGACCCATTTGTCATGGCTGCTCAAGTTAGTCAAGTTTACTATCTACCTTATCCATGTAAAATAGAGAAGATCTCATGGATTGGTCAGTAGTGTATAAAGTTGCTCCACATGGACACATACCTCCAATTAATAGCAATGCTGATTGTAGTCTTGGTGAAGGGCCAACTCAGGATGTTTAATTCTTCCAAGAGGACGGATTAGATGGCACCTTCGTTATTGACTTGGGAGCTGCATTGGACTCTATAACATCATTGGTCTCGGATGAGATTCTTGATCCTAAAGACTTGGAAGAACGGGAGAAAATCCAATTTGAGATTGAGGAAGAAAATGAAGCTATAGATGAAGAGATAGAGTATCTGAGATGAAGAGAATGAAGATTTAGATGAAGCTTACGATTGAATTTCAATGTTTCTTGTAGTATTTTGTGTATTGTACTCTCTATTTTGTGAACTTTATGTTCTCCATGCCTAGGATCTCTGTGTATTGAACCTTTATTAATGTATATGGTATTGCCTATGTACTATGTACTTCGCTACATTCAAATCGTGTGATTGCCACGGTGTAGATTAATTGACCACTATGATGATTTCTTAGAAATAATCCATGCTATTGCCTATGTCTTTGTGTACTTTCGCTACATTCAAGTCATGGCTCCAAACTTGTGAAAATTATGTTCTACAGAATGTTATATTTATATTTTAAATCTGCATGGTAAATCTCAATTATAATTTTCCATTGCAGATGGTGAGTAGCATTCGTCACAGTCGTAACAGTCATGCAAAAGGGAGTGCTTCTCTTGTTTCAAACTCAAGTGATGGTGCCTCTCAAAGACCAAGGTCTGATCCTCCTTCCCAAAGCCTTAATGCTACTGAACCTATCCGTTCTGTACAGTCAGCTAAGCAAAGGGGGAGAAAGCAGGGGTGTCTAACAAAGTTAAAAATGCCGGTGCATGGTCGCAAGGTTGCCCTTGAACCACTTAGTGATACGTGAGTACACAATCATCTCTACATTTTGTCTCCCAACTTTTCAACCCTTTTACTAACCATTGTTTACATGTCTTACATCTTGTACTGGTGAAAAGGCAATTTACTTATGTTGGTTATCGTGGTTATAAGTACTCTACTCAAGTTGGGGTTATTATTAAGAGAGAATGCCCAGGCCTGGTAGATGACAAGGATCAAAATGGTGTAGTTCTTAACACCCGCCCAGCACTAGAGTGGGTTGATTATTTCTTAACACCAAAGGATAGAACGGGATAGACTGCTAGAGATCGTGTACTTTCTGAATTTTGGGTAAGTAACATGAATTTTGTATAAGTTGACACACCTGTACCATAACTACTATGGTTACTATATGTGTAATTATTTATGGTCATTCCTTGCATGATGAAATGCCTTTCTTCGCTTTTGCATGTAGCGTTTGTTTCAAGTCAAAAGGGAGGATCAGCAAGAAGCAGATCGTGTTTTGGAAAATAATGTTAGGAAAAAGGTCAAGGACATTTTGTACCAAGCTCGTGTGGATGCTGTCAAGGTGTAGTACAAGGACGTACTGAAGCAGAACCTAGATGACAAGTTGGCACGACCGATAGAGCTTACATATGAACAATACCTGAATGGCAGAGTGAAGTGGTGCAAGCGTACTGCGTGGCCTTCTCTTTGTCGTTATTGGTGCTCAGAAGAGTTCCTCACAAAACGAAAGAGGGGGCAAGAATCTCGGTTATCTTCTGATGATAATCAGAATTTATGTCATGCAAATAGGTGTTTACATGAGCGCCTTAACCAGATGGGGGAACTTAATAATGACCTAATACTGGTATGGATGTGAATTCGTGTGTCTATTTATTGATTAAAGAAAGCACACTCCTAGTAGTTTATTTTTGAACTACTATACTTGTTTGGATGTAGGATCTTTATCGCAAATTGGATCAGGAGGTTCTAGAAAATCATAAAAGGCGCCTTGCAGCTCTATAAGCAAATGTAAGTACATTAACTTGATACTTGTACCTATGAAATTGGTATTAATTATGACAAAAAAACCAGCTGGTCTAAACCATTTTAAGTAGACAACTGATATGTTTTGATGTCAGAATGACAACACACAGTGCAGCAGTGAGGGAGTGGCCTCATGTTGATGGCTACTGTATTTTCCAACTTTCCATCTTAGTTTTAACCTCATAGTAAGCTGTACTTCTAGCTGTACTGAAACTTGCCACCTCCAATAAGGAATTTATAATTTAGTCCCACAGGAATCTGAAGGTTTTACATAGCTAGTAGATGATGAAATAGACTTTAAAATCTTGTGCATGTCTAAATAATTCTTTCAGCTCTAGAATTTCATGGAATGCCAATTCATTTTATTTCTCGTTAGGGCCACTATTCACTTGTATATGCTTCATGTATGGTGTTGGTGTAAAAGGAAATCATGTATAAGACAATTAATTAATGTTTGTCAGTCCTAAAATCCAATTGATATTTACATGGTATTATCATTTTGCAGCTGCCCACTAGTTCATCACATGTTGGTGAGGACTTGGATGGTGAGGACATGGATGGAGAGGACGAAGAGGACATGGATGGCAGCTACATGGAAGGAGAGGACACGGAGGAGGACATGAATGAAGAGGACATGTATGAAGAGGACGAAGGGGACGAAGAGGACAGGGATGAAGAGGACATTGACAACAACAATGGGGGCAGTAATGCTAGATCATACATCGATGACTTCTGTGATTTGGGATATATATGGTAAGGTTGCTATTGGCAGAAATAGCACATGGGTTGTCAAAGTGACTTTTGTCCATTGAACAACATAAGTTGGTGGCTGTCTTTTGTCTTTTGAACATGTATGGTCGTGGATGGTTAACTTAGTAGTAATTGAATGTTAGATGGACTTGGCTAAAACTAGGATGTCGTGGTAGGTGACATGGCTGTACATGTATAAATTAGGAGCAGCATATGGTGCTAGTAGTAGAATTTTAGATGTAATTTGTGAGGGCAGAACCTTTGGTATGTTGGCCCGTATTGAATGCTTTGTAAGCTTTTATGGAACTTCTAATATATATGCTTGATTATTGTGCTATGCATATAATGTGTTGTTTGGTGCATCTGGAACATAACATGTAATTGTGATATTTTCCTGTCATCTACTAATTTCTCTGGTGGTAATTTGAGAAAAAAAATTGTGATTTCCTTGAGGGGAAATCATCAGGAAAATTAGGTTGAACTGACAGAAATTCAGTATTTCATTGATGGAAAACCGACAGAAAATAGCTTCCCATCTCACAGAATTATCTTTATTTCCTTGAGAGTTGACTGACAGAAAAATTACTAAAACCCACAAAGAAATTAGCAATATCCCTGACAGTAAGCCTACAGGAAAATCAATATCTCTGTCAACCTATCCTTGACAGGATATGCCTGTCGGGCTCCCGACAGAATTAATTTTTCTGATGGTTTTTCTCACTTTCTTGATGGTTTTTTGGCACACAGGAAAATTGGTGTTTCCAGTAGTGCAAGAAGGTTCGGATCCCGAAAGGGAAGTAAAAAGTCCAATGGACTTCGGAGAATTTGGAGACTTGGCAAAGTATGGGTGCATTTCATGGGCTGCATCATTATGGACAAGGAAATTGCCAAGTGGGTTAGTGAATACTATGGACCCAAATTTCCCTTCCCATGTTAGGTAACTAGATTTAATTTCTTACAATTTTAATTAGCATCTAGTTCCTTTTCATGCCTAGGTTTCCATTTGCATGTTTAATCTTTTGTCTTGCATAAACTAGGTATATCTTATGGTAGGCTTGCTCGGTTTCATTCTTAACCCTTAGAGCAAACCTACATGGTTTAAATTGTTTAGGAGCACGGCACATAACTTGTTTTACAATTGTTCATCTAATATGTGCCAAAGTCCAAATTATAGATAATTTCTCCCGAATATCACCTTCGAAAATGATTCTCACATTCATGTGATGTCATCTTTTAAGTGGTATTTTTTATTCTAAAATCAATATGCATGTCTCCTACAAGTATTCCATACTTGTATGCACAAATTTAGGGGGAGGTTACTCTACAAATTGGATGTTTTGAGACTAACACCTTTTTAAGCTTATCATGTGTATAGCAGTCTCATTGCAAGGAAAATGGAGTCTTGGGAGTTAAGCATCATACTTCAAAAATCCACCACCTATTGCAAGTGGTATAAATCAAATTGGTTTCCACATATGGTATTTCTAAACCGATATCATCATGTTGATTTTACTTTGGTATTTATATGCTTTCTCCATGCATTATATTGATTAAACTCCCTTTAGCATTAATTTGCAAATTATGCATAAACTACATTCTCCATCATATGTATGCATATATTTAGGGAGAGCTTAGTCTATGTAATGTGAGAGTCAAATTTTGTGACATATTACACTCCACATACAAAGGATCACAAATTTTGACCCTCCCTTGTGCTACTAATGTCTTCCTTTTCGGTGTTTGATTCCAAAAAAGGAGAATTTGTAGGATCAAAAGCAAGCCCGATCATAATAATTTATAAGTGGTAATGGTCCGAGAAAGGGAGGATAGTGGATTATGGAGTTAGGGGAGGCTTAAATCCATAATGCCACATGGATTTTCATGTTTGATGACCAACACAACCAAATTGGACTAATGAATTTGCAAGTAATTGTTTTGTAGTTCAATAGGGTGCAAGACGTGACTTGGACGAAGGCGACATGATGATCTAATGATCAACACCTTAAGCAAGACCCTAAAAGCACAAGAGAGGATCCAAGATATCAAGCAAAGTCCAAGCACGAAGATATGAACCAAGCCGGACGCAAGATCACGAAGAAACAAGCTTCACAGAGGTGACCGGACGTGGCCCTTATAGCGACCGGACACATCTGATCAAGATGCTCGACAACAGCAGGCGTCAGTAGCAGCAACCAGACGCTAAGGACTAAAAGTGACCGGACACGACGATGGCACTGTTCATCATCTCGGCAACACATTTAGCACTAACCGGACGCTGGCGGATAATCGACCAGACGTAGGAACTATAGCGTCTGATCGAGTCCAGAGAGGTTCTAGAGCGGCGACAGCGCGACCGGACGCGTCCGATCAATAGTGACCGGACTCGGCAGTGCGTCTGATCAACATGCGCGCTCCAACGGTCGGACGACCAGACGCGTCCGGTCAGGACGACAGCAGCGTCCGGTCAGTAGCAGAAAGCTGGGTTTCGCCCCCAACGGCTACTTTATCGGTGGGGCTTATAAATAGACCCCCCAACCGACCATTTGAGATGTGGAGAGCTGAGGAAACATATCAAGGGTGTTGATACACTATTTTAGTGATCACCACTTGCATAGTGCTTAGTGATTTATTAGGTGATTAGCGTAGGTGCTTTGCGAAGTGCTTAGGATGATTAGACCATCGCTTATGCGCTTGCTCTAGGTTTAGGCCTAGTGTTTGTTGTACATCGGAGGGGCTTGTAGTCTTGCAAGATCACACCAACTGCGTTTGAGGTGTGGGCGCCACCGTGTACCGGAGGAAACAAGGTCCACGGCGTTTCGGCCGGAAGCTTGATAGTGAAGACGGCAGGGAGCATCCGGGAGAGGCTTACCGAAAGACACGTCGGAGACCCACTTGTGCATGGGGAAGGCCCGAGGCTATCCACGGAGTTACCCGACCAGAAGCTTAGCCCTTGCGAGGGATTCCTTACGAGGGGCTCCAACGAGAACTAGGGGAAGCTTGCGCGCTTCTCAATACCTCAATAAAAACAAGAGGCCATAGTTTAGAGTTAGACTTTTAAGTTGCCTAATTCACTCCCCCCCTCTTAGGCGTCATGGTCCCTTTCAAGGTTTTTGTTTTTCTCTTTCTTCTTTTCTAAGCCTGAGCACTTGATCACCATGGCCATCACCACCAACATGATCATCATCACTTGCTCCACCACTTGGAATGTGCCACCCTATCTCATGATCACTTAGAGTAAAAGGGTTAGCACTTAGGGTTTCATCATCTCACCAAAACCAAACTAGAACTTTCAACAGTGTAGTCGAGTATGTGACATGGTCATCATTACTCATGAGTTTCTAGGGTGGTTTGATTGATTGAGGAACTTGTAGAGAAGGAAAGATATAAAATTTGATGAAGACGATTAATGTTGAATGAGGTTCAGTGAGGGGTAAGGTCATGACAAGACAGGTATCAGGTGACGTAACTCGCTTTAGCTATAGTTAAGGGCTAGTTTTTGTTGCGTCAATTTGAGCACTTACCTATACTTACCATGTTTTATATGTACGTGCATGGCAAGCTTACTATCATGTTTTGACAGGGTAATCCTATAGATTCAATTCACCTAGTGACGAGGGTTTGCTAGTAACGTGCAAGTACTCCTATGTTTTGTCATTGTTTATTGGATGACTTGGCCCAATGTGGGACAAGTTGAGGCACTGAGTTACCTTTACGGATCAATGGGTCATATGAGCAGCGACCTTGTTGTTGTGTGGTAAAAGATGTACACCCCTTGCAAGATGTTAATTAATCATTTTGACATGTCAAATTCTTGGTTATGAGTAAGTTCTTTATTGTTGACACTTTAGTGTAAAGTTTTCATGCTAATAACGACACATGGAAGATTGAGCTCACCCCTCATGCTTTGTATATGTTGTTCATGCTAAACCTAGAATAGATAAGTTAGGTCTTATGCTCATTCTTACTTCATGACCAGACACTTTTATGCAAATAATAACATAACTACACAAAAAAAATTCTAACTTTCAAAGGTGGGCCCATCCATTTTGTAGAATTCGAACCCATGACCTTTGGCCCCATGCAGCTATCCCTACCACTACACAATACACTCACTTGTGAGTGAGTAGAAGATGCTATCCATTTGTACTAACTTTTAGTATAATATTGTATTGAATAGTTTGGTCTTTAATTTAAATGAACTCAAATGAAAAATATTTCAACTTCAAAGTATCGGATTTGTATAGCAACACTATTTTGGCACATGGCATGTATCCACGTGAGATTATTTGAAAATTTGAATGCCAAAATCAATAACTTAAAACAAATATTTGAAACTCTAAAAGTCTAAATGAAAAACTTGTAAATATCAAAATTGTAGATCGGGACGACTACTACAACTTTGATATTGACTATGTCAACATCCGATGTTGTTTGTAAATTCTAAAATTTAAATCTTAAAATATACGAAAATTAAACATATATTTGGGACTCTAAACGATTTTAGGTTGAAAACTTGTCAACTACAAAGTTGTAATCGCATTGAAAACTATAACTTTGGTTTGGAGCATGTCAACATTTACGGTCGTTCGAAATTCTAAATTTTTAATTTTAAAAAATAGGAACTTAAAATTAAATTATGATACTCTAAATAATTTCAATAAAAAACTTATTAGCCTCTTGATGTAGATCTTGTTGAACTCAACAATTTTCATATAAAGTTTGTCTCCATATGACTTAATATGAAAAAAATTATGATTTTTAGTTAAAAAACTATTAATACATGTGTCATCTTTAGACAACCCCTTTGTGATTTATAGAGGCACTACACTTAAAAGGCACGTCTTTATCAATAGCCCTCTTCTTAACAGGGGACCACCTCCGAAAATCATTAGATGTTTCAAGAGACGACAAGACACTTTTTAGCCACATCTCTAGGGTTCTGTCTCCTAAAATTATTTCTATACTAGTGTAAGCTTGTTCACCTTACTAGTCAAATGTATTTCTATACTAGTGTAAGCTTTGTTCACCTTGCTAGTCAAATGTATACCCGCCTATATTAGTTTAGGAAAATCAAATGGAGTTTAGCTGAGAAAGAAAACTGTACTGTTTTAGCCAAATGTACTTTTCACTTGTAACGCAAACAACACAAGGATATAAGAGCTAATTGATAGCTAGCTAAAAATTAGTCAAACTTAACTCTAGTACATCCAAACAGGAGAAGAATAGGTGGGCTAATTATTTTTAGTCAAGTCTTCAACTAGTTGTTAGCTGACTAGTTAGCTAATCATAATTAATATAGGCTAATTTTGAACCCCAATTAGCAACCAGCTATGTGTATCATCCGGACCTATCAACTCAGAAAGAACAGTAGGCAAGAGCCGGCAGTTTAAGTATAATAACAAAAAAAAAGAAACTAAACTGGACTCTCAACCTATTCGGCTAGGGCTGAAACGATCGTATATGATCGTGAATTATTACTGTTGGCTAGTTTGGTGTGAGAGAAAAATATTATTCTGGCTGGAAATTTACGATCGTTCACGACCAAGCGACAGGCTGTCCATGGTGGCTGTTGATGTGGACCCACCTGTTATGTACTGTTGCTGAATGACGGGAACACATGACATGAGCAGTGTACACCACGGAAAAAGGTAAAAAGGCGAATGGCAATACAAACGTTGTTTAATCCAAAAACGCACGTGGCCCATGTGCAGATTCCTCCCCGGTCCACCGCCACCCACGTTATATATAGACAAAGCCTCCTCGGTCACGACCTCACAACTCACACACACACATTTCCCTCTCCTTCCCTCTCGCCTGCCTCGCGGCGCCGACCTGCTCCTTGTGTTGTCCAGTTGTCCACTAGCTAATTCTAGACGGGAAGAAGAAGAAGGAAGATCCCGGCGAGGCGCCATGGCAGCAGCTGATGCAGCCTTGCCCTGGGCGGCGCAGTGCGCGGGCATGGCCCTGTTCGCCTCCTCCTTCTGCTTGGTGGCGCTGGCCCTGGTGCTCATGCTCCTCCGCCGCTGGCCGTGGTGCAGCTGCCATGTCTGCCGGGCGTACCTCACGGGGTCGTGGGCGCGGGACTTCACCAACCTCGGCGACTGGTACGCGCACCTCCTCCGGGAGTCGCCCACCGGCACCGTCCACGTCCACGTGCTGGGCTGCACCGTCACCGCCAACCCGGCCAACGTCGAGTACATGCTCAAGACCAACTTCGACAACTTCCCCAAGGGCAAGACCTTCGCCGCGCTGCTCGGGGACCTCCTCGGCGGCGGCATCTTCAACGTCGACGGCCACGCGTGGCGCCACCAGCGCAAGATGGCCAGCCTGGAGCTCGGCAGCGTCGCCGTGCGCTCCTACGCTTTCGGGATCATCGCCCAGGAGGTGGAGGCCCGCCTCATGCCGCTCCTCGCCGCCGCCGCCGACGCCAGCGCGGTGGTCGACCTGCAGGACGTGTTCCGCCGCTTCGCCTTCGACACCATCTGCAAGATCTCCTTCGGCCTCGACCTGGGCTGCCTCGAGCTGGACATGCCCGTGTCCAAGCTCGCCGACGCGTTCGACACCGCCACGCGCCTCTGCGCCATGCGCGGCGCCGCGTCGTCGCCGCTGCTCTGGCGGGCCAAGCGCCTGCTCAACGTCGGCTCCGAGAGGGAGCTCAGGGAGGCCATCAAGCTCGTCGACGAGCTCGCCGCCGCCATGATCCGGGAGCGCCGCAAGCTGGGCGTCGCCAACAGCCACGACCTCCTGTCCCGCTTCATGGCCTCGGCCGGGGCCGGCGACGAGCACCACGACGTCGACGACAAGTACCTCCGCGACATCGTCGTCAGCTTCCTCCTCGCGGGGCGCGACACGGTCTCCTCCGCGCTCACCACGCTCTTCATGCTCCTGTCCAAGAACCCGGCCGTGGCGGCCGCCATGCGCGCCGAGGCCGGCGGCGACGGTGGCGACTCGGAGGCGCCGCTCACCTTCGAGCAGCTCAAGCGCCTGGACTACACCCACGCGGTGCTGTACGAGAACATGCGCCTGTTCCCGCCGGTGCAGTTCGACTCCAAGTTCTGCGCCGGGCCCGACGTGCTCCCCGACGGCACCTACGTGTCCGGCGGCACGCGCGTGATGTACCACCCCTACGCCATGGGCCGGATGCCGCGCATCTGGGGCACCAACCACGGCGCGTTCCGCCCGGACCGGTGGCTCACCGGCGAAGGCGGCTCGTTCGTCCCGGAGAGCCTGTACAAGTACCCGGTGTTCCAGGCGGGCCTCCGCGTATGCCTCGGCAAGGAGCTCGCCGTCACCGAGATGAAGGCGGTCGCGGTGGCCGTGGTGAGAGCGTTCGACGTCCAGGTCGTCGGGGACAGTGGCAGCGCTGCCTGCGCGCCAAAGTTCGTGTCGGGGCTCACCGCGTCCATCAGCGGCGGCCTCCCAGTGAGGATTAGTAGAAGAGTTCCAAGCTAGAGATTCTTGTTTTCTTTCTTCAAAAAAAAAAGAAAAAGAAAAAAAGAAGTAGAGAGTAGATCAGTAGAGTTGTTTCGCGGATAATGTACATAGTAGACTAATTAAAAGATGAGGGAATGAAATAGCAAGTTGAATCAAAAGTCCCATTCACGAATTCCATCCACGATCCATTTGGTGTGCACTTTTCTGATGCTGCAAGCCTGCAAGTCTGCAACAGAAAGCAAACTGTTATCACCACTGTTTGATGAGGCCACTTCCACTGGCCTGCCTGTTAGCTAACCGTTCCGTGATTCAGTTCCCTTTTCTTCTTTCTGGATCTCTTTCAGCTTACTTTATTTCAGAAGAAGCCAACTTCAGCTGCAGAGATTTTCAGTCACTTGCCATGGAGTAGCAGATTCAGAGTTTTAGACCATCATTTTCAGTCACATGCCACGCAGTAGCAGATTCAGAGTTTTAGACCATCCTGAATTCCTGACGAGGAATCAGTGACAGAGCCACGATTGGCACAACAGGATGAACCCTGCAACGAAGGAAACCTTACGTAAACAGCAACAAAATGGTCCCTCTGTTAATTCTATTTCCGGCCTCTGCTAATTTCATTCGCCGGATGCAACGCCGGATCCACGCAACAGTTCTCAGTTTCTGCTTGCACAATACAAGCAACTGCGAACCTGCAGACGATAGGTATTGGCTGTCTGTCTTTATGGTGATACAGATACAGATCTATCTTCAGAGCACTGACAAGTGATGGCGTGTAGAAGGTAACGTGTACGGTATTGGTGATCCGTGCTCGTGCTGGCAAATTGAACTATTGAAGAGAAGATTTTGGATGGTTGTATTGATGAACAGCTGAGATGTTAGTTGATGTGAAGTGGACTTATACATGCTGTACATCTTATCTTCTCTTTGCCACTGTCAGGTTGAAGAATAGCCGTATGCTAGAATAAGAACTTAGTTGCTACTCTGCAAAGACCTTAAAGGTGAAGCAAAAATCGACACCTAATGGGCCAATTCCCAAGATGACTGAGGCAATATGCCATCCTCATGAAAGTCTCCATTTTCTCTTGCCCAACTTTCCTCCATGTATCCTTGTTCATGGAATCATCTTCCCAGCTCTTTTCCAACCTCAATATCAAACAATATGGCTTGAAATATAGTACTTAGCTGATATCACTTTGTTCATAGTTTAGCAGCTGCGTCATTGACAACGAACCATCTACGTAAACCTGAATACCTGATGCCTCAATTATTGATTGTTTACTTGCCTCCGACACAATTAGTCGTTGATGGGATTTGGGATACCCGACTAATGCAGCATGTCAAAAAGGAATAGTACTAGCATACCAGATCCTAGTTGGTGTCAAGTCGACATCCTTATTTGCAACGTGCGCAATGAAATCGCCATCATATTGGCTACAAACTGGAGGAGATTTGGGGCCACATCTATACATTATTGTAGACCAAAACCCAGAAGAAAACAACCAGCTGTTACAAAAGATATACGGAGTATCCAACTAAAACGGCGTGCGCGCGTGCCAAAGACATTTGTAGTTTCTATATAGGAATGCAGTGGTTAGTTGCTGAATCTTCCTTCTCACCATTTGTGTCCAGTCATTTGAGGAAAAGGATGAGGTACTAGCTCATCCTCTGGTGAGTGATGAAGCTGGAGGATCTCTGTGATTTGGCATGTTGGTTACTTGTTCACAACTCTGAGTGAGACCTCTTTTCAAAGCTTAGAATGGTTGTAAAGTTGAAGCATGCTCGGTCGGTGAGATTTGTTTCGCTCTCTCCATCCATCCATCCACAGCTAGCCCGCCCATTCCGCCTGCACTTCCCACTCTCACATGCTGCTTCTTATCAGAACTGAACCGCAATGGGTGTTGTTATCAGACATGACCTGCAAAATGTGCTTGTCACCTTGCATGGTTAAATAGCACATGGAGCATCCACACACATGTAAAGGTGGCACCAATAATTCTCGGTTCTCAGTCTCAGCTCGGTGTGTCAGACTTTACTGGACCTCTAGGTGTAGATCAGTGGCTAAATACTTATCTTAGATAGAAGACTTGGGTCGCCAAGCGCAGTCGCGGCCATGGCACCGCAGCGCCGTGGCCACTGGGGTCGGAGTCGGGGAAGACGTGCAGGCGCGGTCCAGTGGCGGCAACGAAGGCGATGGCGCTTCCCGTCGCTTACAGCGTGCTCTCTAGATCGGCTTAGGGATAGGAAAACTGGTGGGGCGTTGGCGGCTGCGGTGAACCACGTTTCTCGAGCCCCAGCCCTCACCTCCTATTTATTGCGCTGCGCGATAGGGGCCCATCAGACAGTAGAAAGGCTGAGTGCCGCCGATCAGGGCGCAGATCAAGGGCCTAATTAGCCGTTGGTAGAGATCAACCTAACACGGTGCTGTCCAAATGCGCAGGTAGTGACACTCCAAATTCACCATGTCGAAGAGATCACAAAGTTTGTTTAGAGCAGGCTACAGACAACAGAATAAGAGCAGAAATATACGCCCGTGTCAGACGAGCTACAGTAAGTGGCAAAGATAGGATTCTGAATCTTGATAGTTGGCAAAGGGATTGACTCCAATCTTCAGACCTTTCTCTGAACCTGACAGATACTACAAAGCAGCATCCACTTTGACAGCTAGCTCAGAGTAATCAAACAATCCGTTTGATGTGCTTCTTCGAGGCTTACGTCTACAAATCGTTGGACCATGTCTTGTGAACTCTTTTTTCGCTAGTCCAATACACACTTGCAGCATACTTTATATCAAGTTGGAGAGATATTTGCTTTATTAATTTGCACACTGTGTTATGGAATATGGAGTACCGGCAGTATGAAACTGGTCAGTCAATCTGTTCTCGGGAGCGTTAATTTTGTCAAGTTCTCCTTGAGATACCTAGATTACTAGATAAGGGGTCGTTTCTAGTACTGAGGTAAGTGCTCTGTATTTTTCATCAGTCAGGCCGGCTATCTGAAATATTGGTACACCGGCCCAGTGGTTTAGGGCCAGTTTGGCCGGGCTCCTCTCGGCTCCGGCTCCATGGTACAGTGGTTGAGGAGCCGGATCCAGAGCAGCCAAAAATAGTGGCTCCTCCGGGCTCTAGTTCATTTGGATAGAAGAGAGAAAAACAGCTCTAATGAACAGTACCATAAACAGTTCGTAATTTGGAAGAGCCAGGGCCTCTAGGAGCTCTCCCAAATGGCCCCTTAGTCTCAATTGTATGCCCACCTCAAGTGGGCAGAACCTAGCTAAATACTTTGTGTCAGCATCACCTATTCACCATGCATGGCACACTAACACATGTAACGTATTACATAATAATAGCTCTATTTTTTTCACCGGAACTTGCATTGACTATGTGTTGCTGCACAGAAAAATTAAAAGTCAAAATAAGATTTCCATAAAGTTTAGGATCATGGAACTCGTGCACAGTCTGTGAAGTAGCGTATGTGCCTGCCACTCTAAACCTACCCACAACAATGTGGAGTTTTCTTATTTTATATAAAAAAAACAAATCATGGGAAACTGAAAAAAAAATACACTTAGGAGTAAATTAATAGTAGTCCAAGATAACAGCGCTAAATTACATTATTGATAAGGAGGTTTACTTCGAACTAGCTAGGGGTAGCCCACTCAATTGGGTGGCTAGTTGTGGGGCGCAACCCAACCTATTCGCTTGAACTTATTAGCCTGACTTATCAGCCATGAAACAGTGTTTTTTCACTCACAACAAATCGGCTTCAGCCGGCTTATCAACCGTAGAAACCAATGCATAGCTTTTATACCATCCTCATCGACTACATACACTACCATGTGGTGGTAGAACCTAGACCTAGTATTCGCAAAAAAAGAACCTAGACCTGATATTTAGGATGAACAAACATTTAAATTAAAAGGCTATGAACTATTCCCTCCGTCCATTTTTAAGTATCGCCTAGATCTTCATGCAAGTCAAGCTTTCTTAAGTTTTACTAGATTTAAAGAAAATATTAATAACATTTTTATATCTCTAAATAGTGTATTATAAAAATATATTCAATAATTAACAATTATATCACGCATCATAAATATTAGTAATCTTTTTATATTATTTGGTCAAAGTGCTCCCTCCCATGAATCACAGCTTTTCTGGACGCACTGCTTGAACACCATGGAGCAAGATAGTGTGGGGTCACTCCTGCCTCCCACTCTCGCTAGAGGCTAGGCGGGGGGGAGGTGAGAAAAGCATAAACAGAGGGTATCCCAAAGGAGAATGCAGAAATAAATGCGGATTAATTGTCCATCATATTACCAAAATTAACTTTGCCCAACAGTGGTGCCTGGGTATCTATAGGGGCACACCCCAATGCGATGGTAAAATTAGGGTATCCCAAAGGGAGAATATGGAAATAAATATGGATTAATTGTCCATCAAATTGCCAAAATTAACTCTGTCTGAACAGTGGTGCCCTGGGATATTTATAGGGCACACCTTAGGGCAATGGTAAAATTACACAAGGGTTGCCTAGGCGTCTCGATTTCCAATACACTGCTAAAGGGAAGGGAGGTAACTTCCCGTACTCTTGCCAGCTACTCCATGCGTTGGCGCCGCCGCTCCTGGAAGGCTTTGCCTCCTTCTGCCGCGGGGCTTCTCGAGGGTTTCCCAGGCTTCCGCCAGACTCCCATCCTCCTGTCATGTGTTACCTTCGTCACGACCTCCACTGTGTGAGCCTGCAATGAAAGGAGACTAAGGAACCTTCGGACCCACGAGGGTTCCACGTTACGACCGGGCATTAGCGAGGGTCCGAGAAAGACCAAGTGTCAAGGGGTCTTATGGGGGCGCTTGTTGAGAAAAAAACTCCTATCCTAGTTGATCGAACTTGAGTATGTTTAACTCTTCGATATGTGAGAACGGCAGTTAAAAATGGACAGAGGGAGTTTCGAGGAGTTCGCAGAGACCAAGTCAACAGCCGCGGCGGAGTTGTTGGACGCGAGCGGCGCAGCGTGCGGTGGGCAC